ACACACAGGTAGAAAGGTAATATGAAGGCCTCCAGCTAGGATATTTTTAAAAATCAGGTTTTTTTTAAAATAATTTGAAATATTTTACCGTTTTCTCACATGAAGACGTGTATGCCAAAAACTGAAAGGCGCCTATAAGCAAGGCAAAACCACTACAGCCACAGGGTAAAAGCCTCAAATCCATTAAATCTTGTTTCCCTTCAGCTCCTTTCTAGAATTTGATAGAATGGTACACGTTTGCCTGGTTGTTTGTTTTTTTTTTTAAATCACAAATTGCCCACAATTGCTTTAGTTGCATTTGGATGGGGATAAATATGTACTAGACTACCTCTGTGTCATCTATCTTGCTCATGATACTCAGACGGAAAAATTACTTCCTACAGCTAGGATAAACTCCGTTCAGCAGGGATCAAGATAGCGACAGATTTACATTCAAAGGACTGTCATGGAAGAGTCAGTGTTCTGATAAAGGGAGAGGGTACTCTGGGAACCAGAAGCTGTGGGACGAAGCGCATACGTAGCTGTGTTCCTGCAGATGAATTTGGAATTCAACGGCAAGAGAAGGCAGCAACCAGCGATTACATGCAGGGGAGACAACAGCTCATCTTCCTCTGCTGAACACATGCAGCATAGAGGTTTTCCCCAAGAGAGCATCTTGACTGAGAATTCCCAGCTCTCTCCTTCGAGCAGGCAATAGATGATTGCAATAAATACAAAACATGTGTACACGCACTTACCCCTTACAGGTCTGCTCATCCATTAACATCCCCAGCCTTCCAGCCTGAATGGCCAGGAATTCATTTTCAAAAGGCTTCTGAAGTAGTTACCTATAATTTGCTTCCACACAACGCACGTTTACTTTGCAAGATCAAATTCATGCTTAGAACTCGGAGCAAAACATAGCGGGCCCACAGAAAAAACTAGATGTATACGTTATAGAGAAACAATGGAAAGCAGTTCTGCAAGCAAGAATGACAACGGTCGATTTTGTGTACTGCTTGCTTAAAGCTACATGAACATTATAAGCAAAGCTCTTTTTATTCTTACTACTTTTGTCAAGAGGAAATAAACATAGTTTACTGCTAGAGGAATAAAGGCAACGCCATAAATGCTTATCATGCAGCATAGTTATAGAAAACAGTATCGCTGCTTCTTAAAGCAGATGATGATCTTTCTACCAGCTCAGTAATGCAAAAAGGCTAAGCATTCCTCAAATGCGTTTTTTTTCTGAGCAATTTAGAGGTTTACCATTGCCGATTACGACCTCAAGTTGAAAGCATGCTGGAGGACAGGAGGAGACTACAATAAGGAGGAACCTTGGCTGCAGTTTTGCTAGAGCCTGGTCAGGAATGGGAGAACAAAGTAGAATTTGTCAACTCAACTGTGGAGCACGCTCTCATTATTCTGTTCAAGGCATCCGGTTTTCACAACCTCTGCTGTAAAACATTTTGATCAAAACTATGGTTTTGGTCGATGCAGTAGGGAATAGGTCTTTCAGTGCAATTCCCTATTTGAGAAGGATTTTGTTAGCAATTGGCTGAGCAAATCCCCACTCACAATAACAGCTGTGAACCCTGCTGAGGGCATCTGTTGGGTAGTTAATACTTGTTGGGAAGTATCTCGCTTTGAGTGTGTTTTGTTTACAAAAGGAATTCCTACGCTTTTTAACACAGTGTTAAAGATATTGTGCCTCCTGTTTGTTTACATATAATGTTCGATCCGTGTTGTCTTTGTTCACTTGTACTGATTTTCCTCCCTACAGGGGGCTAACGTATCGAAGGGCTTTTTTGATTGCCTTCAAGTTTCAATTGAGTTATAATAATAACAGCCTAGATACAGAAAGGTTATTAAATGAAGTGCTACGAGAGACTGCTGGCCCCATTCTTTCCTTTCCAACCAGCAAAAATAAGGAGAAACTCCACGGAAGCTAAAATTCAAAGGGACGTCAGAGTAAGCAGGACCTACAAGAACAGCTTCAGCAGCAGCAGGAGAGCAGAACAGCCCCTCTCCTCCTGTGGCTATCACTTTGTGGGGAGTACTGTCCAGCCAGACTCCACGTACTCTGCACTAAATTCCTTTGCCCTGCAGAGGCTCTTGGAGCCACGCTAACACCTCCAGACACCTGAAGGGATGCAAGCCTCTTTCAAGTTATCTTCCCAATATAAAACCCAGGAATACAAAGCTCTGCAAAAGTAGGAAAAGAGGTCACATCAGAGGATCTTTGTTAACAGCGCATCTCCAAAGCCTCCAAGGAAGTCTATACTGTCACCTATACGGGAAGCCCTTCCCCAGGCCTGACTCAACACCTTTCACGTGGTAAATATGCAAACGAAGATGGATCAGGCACGAGCAGCCCCAACCTCCAGCGATGAAGGAACCCCGCAGCGTACCCTGTGTGAGCGAGGCAGAGGTGCGCATCAGCGTAGGGATGGAGGATGATCCCAGGAACGCGGTGCCTGGCTCAGCGGCAGAAGATCTGAGGCCGGTTCTTGCCCAAAGTAATGCTAATGCCTGGAGACAGCAAGAAGGTTGCAGAGGAGTATGGAGACTATACTGCTTAGGCCTACTCTAACATGCACAAACGGGCATAAGAAAGAGCAATATATAGGGAAATCATCTCCTATTCATCTGCAGAAGCTGACCCCCATGACTAACAGCTGTTTAACTACATATGTGAATAGTAAAATTCTTGCTTAAATACCTGCAGAACTGGTGTCCAGTCCGAAAAGGTTCCCGACTGCAGAGTTCCTTCTTGCAGATGGGTTTTAAAAGGAGACTGAAAAATGTTTAGGCTGGCACCCTCTTGTGGATGCTGGGTAGGAGGACATTTATAATGCATGTTGGCTCAAGTGGATGCTGCTCATCAAGATAATACACACTTCCTACGTACGTACAAAAGCAACGGCATGTTTTTGGACAACCACTCAGAAATTTTAGGAAGAAAATAGGAGATACCATACAGATGGATTTTGATGGTATGTGTCAGCAAGCTTGGTTTGAACATAAAAACACTGTTGTAAACACTCACATTCATGGAAGAGTGCTACAGATTTAATGTTAAGTATGCAAGGATTTAATTTTAGCTTCCATTTGCAAACTAATACCTTGTGTAGTAAAATGCTTTCCAGCAGTTACATGAACACATAAGTTTAGAATAGCATCAGAAGAAACCAATATAATAATTACCAGTACTTCTTTTTTGCAGGACCTCTCCTTTTTCCTGTGTTCTTCCATCAAACCACATAGGAAATCTAGCAGATGTTTCACTCATATGCTTATGAAACATGGTCCAAATAGGTCAGTATTGCTATGCATGTTACTTTGGTGAAGACATATTTCCTGTTCACGTCTTGCTCCTCCATCCTATTCCAATTCTGAACTTGTTTTCCAAATACGTTTTCAAAGAGACATGATTACCTTTTCAGAAATACGCATCTCACAAAAGTAAACATTTAATAGCAAATAAAACTTAAGGTCCTTCTGGGTGTAACTTGTAGATCCAAGGCCTAAATATGTGTTTATGTAAGTTGATCTGGTGCTCCAGACTTATTCCTGACATATACTGATGTGAAAGGACAACGGAATGAGATTCTTATGAAATAATTTATTCACCTGCACACCAGACATGTTACCATTTTAATCTGTTTCAAGAGCCAGGGATTGCGATGGTACTTAGCTTACTTTGTACTGAAATCCACAATACATTAAAGATTTCTACTGCCAAGGTGTCACGATACTTAAATTCTGTATTGATATCGTTCCCTGTAAACCACTGTGATATGGTAGCACTACCCCTTTACAGGGCTGTAGTGACATGAATGAATAGAAAGCAGACTTTCCTGCTATACACAGTTTTGCAGTGACTGAACCTCAAAAGCAAAGAAAGTCATCTGAATCGGACTTCTGCAGTCTTCAAAATAAAGTGCTAGCTGAAACTAGACCTTTGCTGTATATTGAAAATACTCTTAAGAAAGCAGGCACTCTAGAGAATTGACTCCACTTTTGAAAGGCTTTTATCTGCGTGTAGGATTTATACATCTGCTACCACGCTAACCTCACAGTTTTAATGCTGACGATTAATATAACGTACACTATAAATTCTGTACACATGGATACGATTGTATTACGGTAACACTATCACTTTCATACTGCTAGTTTAATTTCTGATTTTTTTCTCATTTTCTGCCTAATGTCAAAGATGTGATGTATAGATGAAAGATGACCAACTCTAACCTTTGCTCATCCGCTGAATCTTATGCATGTGGTTGCGAGCTCACAATGTATAAGACAAGAAAGTCTGAAGAAAACATCATCAACATCTCAAAACAACTGCACACTGGTGACTTTTCTTAATTGCTTCAAAGTAATTACCACTTATTGGGGAAAAACAGAAAATTAAAGCGAATCAGCAACAAAAATATCACAGGACTAAACCAAAAATATAAACCAAGAGTATCTTGCCAAAACCACATAAAATGAAGAAAAGGCTTCTGCTAGTGTGCACGAACAGTGACATCTTGTGGGGGTTGTACAGAAGTGAGTTTACAGAGGGACAGAGCAAACTAGTCTGCAATGTTGTGTAATTAAAAGAAACGCTACTTCAGTAGTTTATTTAATACATATACCATTAATAATATTTGGTAGAAATTAGGCTTTATTGCTTTCATAATGAGGAATGAAAATAAAAATAAAAATTTTAAAAAAAGCGCAGATAAATAGCTAGTAAGAAAAACTTTCAAAACAAAAATTAATGGAGTGGAGTCCAAATAGCTCTGCAGCAGTTTCCTCTGCTCTCCCAGGAAGTAGTTATATTTATCACTTAAATATTACTCATCCAATATAATAATGGCATAAAGACAAACTTATAAGAGACTAAACAAAGAGTTATGTTCTAAAGGCATACAGTCAAACATAAAAATGACATCCATATTAAGTGTTTTTTAAAAATACACACATAAATATTTAATAAAGAAAGCATGGATAATTATGCTCATCTTTCCACTGAGTAACAGACTATGCCAAATTCGTTATATGTACTTCTTGAGAAAGCAAAGTTATATCACAATGGAAAACTAAACCAATATATCCTACTTTCCAGTACAGTATGCAAGATTTGGACCCTTCAGATTGTATCAGAGTATATGAGTTTCTGGAACAAATCTTCCACCGCTGTAAAGTGTCATAACTCGGCCAAGATACCCAACTCTGACAGTTTACAACAAACAAAAATGTTTTGATTTTTTTTTTTTTAAACAAGTTTGCACCCAAACTAAGTTATAAAAACATAATGTTTACAGCTTGGAAGATGATAGATTTTCCTACCATAATGTTCATGTGTTCGTCTTATTTTCTTTTACCTGAGTAACCTAAGTAAACAGATTACAAGGCAATTTAAACATATTAGCTAATACAAGGTTTACTGGACTTCTCATATATAGAAATGTACTTTGACACTATTTGCAGTTTTACAAATACAAAATGAATAAGAATTTTAAAACATATTTACTGAGCAGCCATGTCTTTGCTATCTGTACAGATCAATAGGTGCAGTGGAATTATGTACAGAATTTATCATTTAATTTTTAAACAGCTTTTGTGCAACCTGGCTATAATGTGCATTTAAAGAACTGCTGTCGACATCACAGATCTGTAATTTACTGGTGCCAGAAATGGAGAGTACAGAATAGGACAACAGCTCCTAAAAATAATACTGTGCTATGCAGACATCTGTACATAATTCAAATAGTGCATATCACTCAATGTCTGATGAGGAATAATAGTTAGCTGCTAATACAGACACGGGCATTTACAGGTATTAGGTTTGTTATAGCAAGTATGGACGAATGAACTTTTCCATATATAAACATTAAAGGAAAGGACTTCAATTAGGAAGTTATGTAACAATTAAAGAAGTGAAGTTATGTAATAAATAACAAAACTTTCAATTCAACTTGCAGAAGATTAGTACAGTAGGAAAAAATCCTTTACAGTAGCAAAAAATCCTTTACAGTAGCAATGAAGCCATTCAGAAGCATTGTCAAATCAAAGGTAATTCGGTTTAATTTTATAATCATAGCAACTGAAAGTAAAAAAAAAAAAATCAACATGAAGAAAATTTAGTTTATCTCTGATAGTCTTGTTAGTGTACTTCTGTGTTATTGTACCTGTCAGGTGTTTCCTCCTCTTTTTGTGCTCTATTCACTCTATCACTTTTGATTTCGATTTTTTTTTTTTTTTTTTTTTTTTTTTTTTTTTTTACATTTCTTTAGTCCAGCATAAATCCATAGACACTAAAGCACAGTGAGTGTGCAATTTGCAGACTGGTGTGAGTGAAAAACCACAGGAATATAATTACTTTTACGAGGTAAGCTTGGAGTAACTTGGAGGAGAAAATTTGCGCTTCAAGTACTTGATAATGTAAAGTGGAAGACAGCTTACAACAGTGATTGCTGACACTTTCCACAGGAAGGTCACAGTTGTGATAAAGGCAACATCTGCAGAAACAAAAAGGGAAAATAAGTAATGGGAGCTGGTAACATGGAAACTGGAACTTCTATAGTACAAAGTCAATAAAACTCTCTTAATTGTTTGCTTATGCTATTGTTCAAGAGCATGCAAAAAAAAAAAAAAGAGCGCCACAAAACAACAGAAGGATAAAGTTAAAGTTAACCTCAACGTTTTGTTTTTGCCAACTAATTTCTTTAGACAGGAACTTCACAGTTCCTTTATGGTCCTTATACTGTTTTGCAGCACAAAATCATTCTAGGGGAAACAGACTCTCAGTTTAAAAGCAAAACTTTCTCATAATAAGAATAAACCAGCTTATTTTTCTGCTAGTAAGAATGGTTTTTATCCACTATAGTACAAGTTCCCAGAAAAACAGAAATTCTGCTACCATTTTGGATCCTTTGTTCCATATTCAGATTACTTTTCTCTGAAACAGTCACAACAACCAGACTGAATGATTCTTAAAACCTTAGAGATTAAATTAGAGCCCGAAAATTTAAAGGGAAAACCATGTAGTGATATTACCACAAGCCACACCGAAAAGCCATTTTTTTGTGACAAACGTTAACAAGAATGGTGACACTCTACACTTGCTACTGAAAATTTTTTACCATATTTATGATGGTCAGGTCATACTTAATTATCATGGAAAGATCCCAGAACCCAGGTAATCTGAAGAACTGGGTTTTTTTGCCTTTTTTTCATTATTTACAAATGCATATATTAAATAATCTACTACTCTTTAATGAATTTTTACAGACTTAAAAAAAGCGTCAAGAAAAGTTAAACTTCACCTACCTAAGAAAGCTCCAAAAGACACTCTGCCTATACCTGTTTCACAAAGAGGGAGAATGAAAATGAAAGGATAGATTTACAGAAAATATGAAAGTTATAGGAAAAAAGAAAAAAACCCAAACAGGTTAGCTACACAAAAAGGAAATGAAAAAGATGTTAGTAGCATTAACTGGAATATTATTGCCTTTCACATGACATTCAGAATATTTTAAACAGCAATTAAACCAAAACATTTTGAAAATACAGAGATTTCATATTTGGTCATGTTTTAAGGTTGTAAATAGGTAGGCAGTTTTCTTACATTTGACTTCAAGGTATAATTTACTGTATAAACAACTTGGTCAGAACTGTTTTAATGTGAATGAAAATTCACTTCAGAAAATGCAGTAAAGAAATGCTTTGCTGCTCCAACTTCACTCATTAAATATACTTCGTATATTAGATTTCAATGTATAAATTTGTTATACAGTTTTAGCCTAAGCCTGCTCAGACATACTAAAAGCCTATGTAACATATCATAGAGACATGCCTAATAAGGCCATTGTGTGCAATTGACTCAGAAACCTAAAAACTTATTTACCTCCATGAGTCAGAGCCGTAGAGCAGTGTCAAATATTTTTGTCTTTCTAATTTGAGTGCCCTGTCATAGTTAGGTTACCATTTCTTTGGGAGGAGATTATGCTTGTAAGGAAATATCGTGGAAAGAAACAGTTTATTTGCTGATGAAATCAAGCGCTATTGGACTTGATTGTTTTCCCTGTTACATGGAAGTCGTTCTACACCTTGAACTGTAAACCGTCACTTAGGTTTATACTACGTTCCATGCACATAAAAAGGCTCCCTCCCCCCAGTTATAATGTGACAGATTAAGTAAGAGTAAAGCATTAAGCAGAAGAGAGACTAACTGAAATGCATTTTCGCAGATTAACTGATGAATAACACGCAGTAAAATACATCTCTACAAAAGCCTGTGAAATTGTAGCCTTTTCAGTACCCTTAATGATGAAAAATACAGAAGTTAAGTCCCCAGGCTGCAAGAAGCCATGTACTCAGTTGCTTGGACTTGTCCAGCAAATACATGCAGATAGTAAAGCACTCCCCTCTACGGAAACGTTTGCAAGCAACAAAGTCCCTGTAGCTTTTACACATCTGTGAACACCACCTAAAGGTGCTTCTCCCTGAACAACACCTAAAAATGATGGAAGGACTGGCTGTCACCAATGCTAAAGACTTACAAAGGTGAAGCAGCAAGTTCTGCTTTATGAAATTCCTGGAAGTTTGGACTAAAGAGCCAATACCTGTATCTGTTCTTGCTTGTTCCTTTCATTTGTAATCTGGCTGTGGAGATTCAGGAATCAAGCCAATAATGTCTATCAAAGAGTCTGTGCATCAGCGTCAGAGAAAAGAAAAAGGTACTCTGGCAAACCTGGAATAATGTACAATACAAGTACCAAGCCCAGCAGGGTTCGTTCTTCATTAAAATTTGACTCCTGAGAAATCTGGGAGGTAACAGAACACCTGGGACAGGCAGTGAAGCATTTACTGATTAAAAAAATAATTATATAATGTAAATACACTAGCCTAGTGTTGAATACTTGGGACATGAGAGAGCAAAAGCAGAACTATGAGACTCCTAGAAACTACCATGTAACATTTAATTCTGCTATGAGAAATGACAGTTGAAGAAGGGCAACTCCTTACTCATCAGCTCCTGGAAAACAGAGAGGGAAGGAGCTGGATTCTATTCCTTGTGAGGTATAATCAAAATTGTTATATATATTTCTGTAAAAGTTACATTTGTAAAATCACACCGACATAGCTGTTTTTATTGAAGAATAATTTGATATAGAAAGAAATATGTATTATTTTGATGCTCAGATCCTTGACTGTTAAGATTTGCAGTTAAAATGTGTTCTTTCATCTTGTGAACTACGAACAATCAGAACCTTAAGACACAGTATTGCATGCTGCAATTTAAAGCAAAGAAAGCTTAATATAAGCTTAATATACTTATGAAACAATGATTCTCATATAAAGTCTCTATCCTAATAGCCTTCTGTCTCACTCTGTAGCAATACTTCAGCCCTTTTAAGCTTGTGGGTTAGATCTAATGAGGTCCGCTTGGTCTGGCGTAAAAAACAATTCACCAACACAGTGAAAGATCCTGATTTTTTAAAAATCATATCCATTTCAATAGTGCAAATCTCGAAGCCAATTTAAGGTATGCAGTTTGGACTGTCAAGATCAGATCAAGGGTGTAAACAGCATGCATGGTTTGAGTAAAGTTTATCATCTAGATAAATCATACTAACAGGAATAAAGATTGTCAGGCTCTAGGAGACAAGGATAAGAGAAGATTTTAATCCAACATTAATTAAGCCTAATTTCAACTCACTCATATTTCTTATGGAGAGAGCTGTATTTCACAAAGCATAACATCACCTATTCTTAATTAAAAAAAAAAGTAGACAAAAAATATTAAAAAGCACAGTTCTTTGCTAAAATACTTTTACTATTACTCACCAAAGTATTCATTTAGAAATGCAAGAGAGGCCACATAGCAGCCAAGACTGAGGAATTCAGCCACCACCATTAACCAGTGCCATGTTCGTATGGTCAGTGCAACCATCAAGAGCTCAGTCAAGATTAGGGCAGTGAAGGAAATGGCAACGACATGTACAAATTCAGATTCAAAAAGCAGCAGGGCTCCATACATCAGAATACCACCTAGGAAAGGCACACAAAGTTAACAAATACACTGTGCGATGAAATTCTAGTGTACCAGTTTTTACCACTGCACACTGAACATTTGATTGCTTATTACGAAAACTTGCCCAGTAATTTTTTTTTATAACAACATTAATCTTTCTAAAAGAACAGAAGTGATATTTACTGTACTTTGTGCATGTGAAATAAAACAACCAAAGTAAAGCTGTAAAGAAATAAAACTATTAGAAAATTAAACACCTTTTAGTGCAATATATGATGAACCGTTAATTAACCTCATTTTGTCAAGTGCCTCCAATAAATGAGACATTGTTGAAAGTGTAATTACTTTTAACTGATTACATAATTCAGATTTCTTCAACAGTGCTTCTGTCATTCCATGAAAGAAAACTACTGTGTAAATATAAGCAATGTGATAAGCACTCATTAAAATTTTTCTGGATTAGCATTCAGTTAGAAACACGTCCTTTTTTAGGTGATACGCATCAATAAAAATACCAATCCACGCCGTGTTTTGAAGAGGCCTGGCACACTACAGGAATATCGATTTACGAGATAAACAGAAAGCAATATATGTAACTGCTGATGAAATGTTAAGCTTTGGGAATTCAACCTGCAGCTGAAAAACAATATTGCTAATAGCAGACAAAAAATTCTCAGTTCAGTAAAATTAGGACTCTCCTACCTTGGTAAATACTGATTAAAACCCAGATGAGGAAGGTCTTAAATGACAAAGATCTTCCCTAGGGGAAACAAGTAAGAGGACAGTTAAACACAACTTTAAAAAAAAAAAAATCTACTCAGTTCATGTATTTTTAATAGTTAATCACTAGACAGATATTTGTCTGTTTTGTAAATTGTAGTCTTCAAAAAAAATAGCATTGTGTACCTACTGACCTAAACCTCAAGCAAAACTGTAGTTACTAGTCACTTCTAAATGTTGGATAAACTGTCTATTTGCATTCACAGAATAAACATATGACTACTGTAAGTTTTCAGCAAGTAACTATTACCAAATACATTTGAAATCTTCTTGTGATTGTGAATGTTATAGATTGAAACATACGCATAAATCAAAGAATAAATGCTGTACATGTGCATATCACTTCTGCATTCTGTGAGGGCACTGATGAAATATGTTAGAACTGCAAAGGATAAAATGGCAAACAAAGCAGCCATTTTGCCACAAAAGAAGTGATCGCTCTAAACAGGCAAGAATCAGCACTTTGTAAAGAAATGTGCTTCATTGCTGTAGAAAGTGATGAGTTAACTCTTTCTATTACTTCAGTAAAGGCTAAAACATATTTTTGGATAGAGAGAGTTCATGGCAAGGTGTTAAAGACATTTTTGTAATTCTGTATATAGCCTAGAATGTTGGTGACAAACTTGAACATATGGGGAAAAAAAATCTTGTACAAGCACCAAGAAACATTAATTTTTTTTTTTCTCCTATGAGTGCCTACTCATCTTCATTTGAGTACTGCACACTGCTTCCACCTTCGACCATAGCTCCCCAATTAGTGAGATTTGGGAAATAAGAATGAGCTTGAGTTTTAGTTCACCTTTATGGAACAAGAAGGGGTAAAGTCACTCCTGAGCCTCTAGGGAATGCTGCACAACAGGCTGTGAATCATTTTCAGATGAAAGCTGGGAGCCCTCCTGCTTGTACTTCCTTTCAAATGTTCATCAGCTTTTCTAGCTCTAACTCCGTAGGAACCGCAGTAACAGTAATACTGAATCAGTGCGTCCTCCGGGGTACGTGGCCACACCTGTCTCTCTGAACCTTGCTAATTTTCTCTTCTTCTTGCACCGGAGCAAGAGCCTGTCAATGACTTGTGCAATATATCTTATTCTTTTAAAAATCTAAAAAGCATTTTTGTCACTAGCGTATCCCGGAAAAGAAACCAATTCCTAAGAATACAATTATAGTCCACGTCAACATGTGTTTGAATAACACTAGCTGAATAGCATTGGTGAAGATTTGCATTTAGAGTCCATAATTTGAAAAATGATGTGCAGAAATACGTAGGACTCAGTGTCATGACTAAGGCATCATGATCATAAATTGTGTTAATAGACACTCACAATAAGATCACCTTGTAATAGTGAAGTCAAATGTAGCACATAAATAACTTTTTGTACTACTCATCCGTAATCATTCACTGATCATCATCTGCCCCACACAATGCACTGAACTGTACTCTCCAGTTTTTCCACATTCCCTTTGGTTTTAATTCTGAAGAGAATTATTTGGGTTCTACTTATTTAATACTCATAGAGGTGCAACATAAACTGGGAAAGCCAATGATTCAGCACGGCCAAGAACTGTCATTTAAGCCTAAACAAAAAACTTAGCCTGTATTCATCTACCCATTCTGGGCAGTTTCTGAGTACAGGTTAACTTCTAGCTTGGGAAATAAGATGCTTCCAAGTTCCCTCAACAGGTTTCCACTTGCAAGCTTACAACTGCCTTTAGCAGGTGTAAGACCATGCTTTTTTTGAGATTAATCATAGGCTGAAATCTCACAAAGAAACTAAAGATTCTGAAGAGGAGAAAGAGAGAATCAAGATCTCCAAGAGATGAGAAAAAATTCTCCCAGACTAACATAGCTAATAGCTAATTTAGTACAATTAAAAAGTCAAAGGCTCTGAAAAGTTTGGATCCTCTTCGACTACAGTCTGCTTTTGAACTTTTAGACACAACTTCAAAGTATCTACTATCCCTAAAAAGACCATCTGCTTCTGCCTTGGATCCTAACTTTTCTAGCTGACGGTTTAAGAAGGAGCAGAAGTTCTTGAGATTTGTTTCACTTTTGCAGGTAAAGAAATCACATACTTTCATTGTTTGCAGGTATGTGCAAACACACAGAAAGCAGTATGATTTGGTTAAGATATATCAGTTATCAGTATCTGTTATTTAAAGAAAGTCAGCTTTTGGAGAGGTCAGTAGTAATATCTGGGGGTTAGGCGAAAAAAATAAATATCTATACATTAATCTACCAGTTAAAAAGGAAAAAGGAGCTGTGAAAAAGTAAGCATAAATAACTCCAGACCAGAGATCCTGGGACCAGACTGAAAGCAAGTTTTACATTAACATACCTTCATGTTTGAATTATTTCAGTCCAAATGGTGACTTAACAAATGTATTAATAAAACTCAATGGAAGATTTGGTACTGTGGATTATTTTCATAGTACAAAAGTCTGCATTATATTAGTTGTGCATCTGTCTTGCATGGAATATCTTAAGAAAATGATTGCAAGAATTCCCAGTTTTGTACACTGGCGATTTCAGCATTTGTTCTTATCTGAGCACTGAGGACATTCCTACCTTTGTGAGATCCTTATAAAGTTCTGGATATAGCAATGCCATTTCTGGCTTCACATCCTGATCCAATACTAGAGAGAAGACTGGAAACATAGTATATATAGTTGCATACCTATGTGAAAGGAAAGCACATAAATTGACAGTTTTGTATGATAGGATTTTAAACTATCTACTGAGTTCAAGTCTTTTTCACGTAAGTGGAATTAAACTGGTTCTTCTACCCAGCACTGAGGTAGCTTACTAATACAGCTTTATGCACGCAACCTGCTCTTCTGCTTCTGAGAGCTGCCAGTCATGAGAAGTTACAGAGCTTTTATACGTTCAAAACCAGTAAATACATTTCTTTCTTCTATATATATCACCCAAGCGTATCGCCTGTTACCATACTCCCTGTGCACTTGCACTTTGGACAACCAGTTCAAAGACCTGACATTTAAATTCATCCACAGACAATGGCATGAAAACTGAAGAAAAAAAAAAGCACTATATTGTGGACATCATGGTATAGGTAGGCGGATGAACAAGAGTCCTAACAGCTCTGTAAGGGGCTTTGGATTTCAGTATGCACATGCCAGATGTATACTTTAGTATGTACTTCACTAGAACTTGGCACAAGTATTTACAGACATTTTGGAGAGGTCTACTGCTTGCCTCTGCAGAGTCTGGTGTAAGCAGACTTTGATTTGACTATGATTTAAGTTACTATTGATTTAGGTTGTTATTGTTTACAAGGAGTATAAAAAGAAGCTCTTAGGACAGAAGGAGCAGAGAGCAGGGACGAACACAAATATATTCACGCCCCTCAGCTGTATGACTTGGGCAACCACGTTATTAAAGCAGCTTCTGCAACAAGACCAGGGTGCTCCTAATCCTGCATATGTTGACCTGAACGGAGATCTGTGTGGCAGACTCGGGTAGTGCACTCTCAGAGGATATTTCGTAGTCAGTAGCTTCAGCTCTATTTTTAACAGAAAAATCTGTGATTCTCACTGAGGCTTGTATGGCAATCTGTGTAACAGCTGAAACTGGTCTGGGAGACTTCCTCTATTGTTTGCACCCCATATGTGAAAAAGGTTATACGGTATCATCTTCTAAGGCTATGCAGATCCCTCTCTTCAGAGAGTTGATAACGAGGCTTCGCCCCTCATACAGTATGTATTCAACCTAGTTTGACTTTTCGTCGTAGACTCATTCCAGGTTTTGGTAGTGTACCAATGATAAATGTATCAAAAATGTGGCAGACACCAACTACATGATGCTAATTAACAAGTTAGTTTGCTATATTTATTACCAGGTATCTTAAGTGTTGATTTTGACTTACCCTACCATTAGGAATCCTTGGTACAAGGGAACAGATGCAAAATAGAAGACTGATGAAAATACAGCCTACAAAAAGCAGATAATTACATATATTTAATATAATTCTATATACAAAACATTACAATAAAGAAAAAAGTAACAACACTGGTTGATTAATATTTTGTGACATCTCAAAGACAGACATAGTGTTTTTAACTATTCAGAAAACAAAGTTTTAAATACCTGCATAGTTGAAATAATAAGGCCCCGGTGCATGACAAATTGACCTAGTGCTGCTGATCTTTTGTAACTGTTTCGACCATGTACCATCAGCAGCCTACCTATGTGTTTAAACTGTGTGATAGAAAAGTCAGCTGCTAGGGAAGCTTGTTTTCCCTCCTAGGACAAAACAAAAATATTCCAAATATGAAACCCAGTGTAAAAGATGTGTTTCAACTTTCAAAATTCTAAGTGATAATTAATTTTAAAAGTCAAGTTTGTTCCTGCTTCAGACATCAACCCTGCAACGAGACACAAAGGACTCTTTTTTGTGCATATTCTAAGATGCAGTGGCTGTAACAAGTAAGTTTAATCGCCTATCCTGCTTCTTTCCAGTAAATGCTACGCAGCAATAACTATAGTTTTTTCTGCTTTTCTTGCTTTTTGTATTTAAAAAGATAAAGCAGAGGACATGGAAGCAAAGAAAATATTAGTTCAAAGACTAAGCATTTTTATCATCTTACAGCATACTTTAGAAATGATCAATTCACTACTGTTTAAGAATAAAGCTTCTAATCCCATGTTACTATACTACTATGTGGCACATCTTTGACAATGAAACTGTTAACATTACCTTGCCTTCAATTCCAATTCCACAGTCTGCTGCTTGGATCATGCTGACATCATTTCCTCCATCACCTGGAAAATGTCACTGCAATATTCAGCTCTTCAGAGGTTTTACTCTCCTGGCCTTACAGTATTTTAGAAACCTCTTATATACCTTTAAATTCCTATAATTAATCTATGGATTATGATTAACTACTTCAGCAGTCAAGACTTCTTTTCTGTGGAATAAAGAAGATAACCACACCTTTCTCATGCAATGGCATTTTCTGCTACAGCTACATAATACCTGGCTGTTGATAAAGTCTCCGGTTTTAACTGTTTCTCAATGGTGCCACCTACTGCTTCAATTTATTACAGATCTTAGCTACTGCAAATGAAGACCATGCCAACAGTTACCTATTGCACACGTGCGTTTTCCAGTGTGGTGCTGTAACAGTTTCACAATATGAGCTTTTTGGGTGGGAGAACATCGGCAGCACACTACAGCAGGACACTGACAAGCCAGCTCTACAAATTCATGCTCATAATACTTCAGACAAACCTAAGGAAAAAACATACACTCGCGTTCATTTACGTATGATTAAATACTACTACAGGTAGTATAACACAAACACAGTATAAAGAATTCTTTTACGAAGTTTTGCTTGCACGACACCCATGTGGGAGAAAAAAAAGCCACATTCTCCTGACTGTGGTTTTATTATTTTAAACTGACATTCTCTTTCCTTTAGAGAGCCAACACACTTTCAGGTTAAGAGAAGAGACAATACTAAAGCATGCTGCATACAAATTCCATTCTGCTACCACACAGGAGACCACAGAACCAGTAACATTTGCCCATCTAGAACATACACCCTCTAACTAGCACTCAGTGAAAAACAAAAGTATCTCTACGGACAACTTAAAGTACGGGCAAACATTGGAAAAAAGTTTAAGAGCATAAAGACACCGATACTTTACTTTTTGAACATAAGCATATAGATAAATGTAATTTGACAAAACCCCATGTTCTTACCTCAAGTGAGTCCCCAGATATCACCAAGGCACAATCATGCTTCCTCCTAAAGGCATTTAGTTCTAGGTGAGCCTCTCCTCGAGTTGTAACCTTCAATAAAAACCACTCACTTAAAAGATTTTGTTATATACTTAAAAAAACCCAATCCTGCCTAAATAAATCAGGTTTTGAGAACTCATACCCCGAAGGCCTTGGTTCTTCAACAAGTGTTTTAACCCAGTGCAAGCCCAATACCCATGGGATGTGACTACAAGCCTTGAATCTTATGGAGTGAAAAAGTAATCCTCAAACAAGGAAAAATCTACGTAGTCAGCTTAACTGGTTCCTCACCAAAGTAGACCAGGGCTAAAAAATTAATGAATTAATGACATTAAAACATCTTAAGTTCAAGCTGACTTGAGTCTTTCCATCTTGGCAGGCCTGGGGCAGGGGGGGGGGAAGGACAAAAACCCAAGCAAACCCCAAAACTTTTATTTATTAACTAGTAAAATATGTTCTTAGAATAATGCAAGATGTTCATATTAATAGTTCCTTCAGTTTGGGTAAGTAGACACAGATCTCAAAAGGCACATAAAAATGCTCACTAGTGCTCATCCTTTTGGATTTTGCATGAGTATGCAAGGAGGATCAAGTAGCATAACAAAATAACGACATGATAGATTTTTTTAATTTACATAATTCTTGTTTCAGAAAGGCCCAGCTGTGAAATGCAAAAATGGTCAAAGGTTACCAAATGGATTTTGGAACATTTGGAGCTAGAACACAGAACACAAAAAAATTAAATTATAACCACATTTGGAAGAGATTGGCAGTTTTGTTTTTTTTTTTTTTTTTCCAATAAAGGATCAATGTATTTTAGAGCTATCATGCAAGACAAAGTTCCAAGCACAGAATAAAACACAAGCTCTGATTACACTTCTAATTTTGGCTCTGTCAGCACTTTGATTAAATAACTTTTAAAATATATGAGTCTTAATTACACTGAACATGAAGTTTTGTCTTTGGCCCACTACTATGCAGAATCAGATACAGTCCCAAAGACCTTTGTCCCTCCAGATGGGCTCTACTACACATAAAATTTGAGTTATATTAAAAAGCACCTGTAAACAGAGAAACTCATACACATGCCCCAATTCAGAATTTTTTTTCCTCCTTTCCCTTAATTACGTAAAGAGAAAGCTCCTTGTCTGCCAACTCTTAGGAACCCTGGATTGCATTGGCCCGCTATAATCTTTCTGCATTACGGAGATTAAGAGATGTCAGCACTTGGTGCACGCTGATGAGCAGTAATTGCCCTCTCTGTTCTACCTTTCACCTAATAGAGGTTTTGTTTTCTTTAATTTGTAAATATCTCTAGAACAAGCTATCAGTTAATCTCATTACAAAACGAAGAAGCTGAGACTTCTAAGAATAAAAAAAAAAGGAGTGTCAAAACCAAAATGATATTTTTGGGAAGCCAATTATAACTAAAATAGAAGTGTTAGAGTGCTTGGTATTTTCTTACGTTAATCTAGTAGTTATTTCTTTGCAACAAATACAGCCACAGAAACAATTCTGTATAAATCTATTTTCTAACTAATTTAAAACTTTGTGTACTTTAAGTTAACACACTTTTATGCTGATCTCTTATTACCAGTCGAGGTAATGAAAATAAAAATCTGACTCAACTAAATAGATTTTGTTCAGGAAGACTTAATTTGTGGTGTTACAACATGGAAAGGTCAACAAAAATTGATCTGAAGTTTTATCAGAAGCATTAATAATTTAATTGCAAATAGTAGTCTGCAGGGCCTAATTTGCCATTCTGATGTTTCAGAAGAAACTACATTTACATGTAAATTATATTCATATAATTATTTCTGTAGGTGCAAGTGGTTCATTTAGAACAAACACAGACATATTATGTCTGATCACACAGCATCAATCAACGGCTGGAAAATCTATTTTTGTTTGGCTTCAGCAGAGTTGATGCTTTGCAAATATAATCAAAACGTATAGAAAAATATACTCAGTTTACCTTTCTAACAATTATCTTAAACAGTCTGTTAATAAAATGCAAATATATATCATGATACAAAAAAAATTCCAAATTTTCTCATACTGATTTGAACTATGTCAATACAGAGGACATTGGCATCACAGTTTAATTCAGGATTAATTCTGCTTGAGTCTAAAGGGTTCTATTAATGACAATGCTAGAAGAAGCAAGAACCACATTCAGATAGCCTAAATTCCTGGATACTCTTTCCTCCTGGCTCAGCACCTCACATAGACCCCTCTCCATCATCACTCAGAGGTACCTTACTATGTCCATGGTGTAAGTGAAGAGTGTAAAACGCATGTTGAACCTGGGTCACCCGAACACATGGCTACAAACGTAGCATATCAACAAATCTAGAAACAAGCACCTTTAAACAGAAGCAGTGCTTTGTAATTCTACATCCTTGAGTAACAACCTAAGTACTACTCTCTTGACTATTATTATGACACTCAGTACAATAACCCATCAATTTTCAACAAGCAGCCAACTACTAATCAAATAAAGCAACACTGTTATTAGCTGTCTTTTGATGAACCAACAAAAAAGTTGGAACTATACTTACAGGTCTGAAAATGTGAATATCTTGAGTCCTAGACACTAAGTGAGAACTTTTCGCAATGCAAGTTGCTGTCTCCAGTTTATCTCCTGTTAACATCCATATCTGCAAAATAATGTAAAAGTTTACTCCATTGGACAGTTATGTGTCTGTTCTCCAAATCTAAATGGCATCCCTCTCCAACCTTTTTCTCGTACCTTTTGGGATTAGATTACCAGAGAAAATATACCGATATGTACATTTTACACTAAAATTAATGAGCAGTTTTTACTGCAATAACACACAAAGCAGAAAAGAACTGTCTTTACTTCAGGCAGCTCCACTCCCCTTCCCTTCTCACAAGGGCCAATGTCTCAATCTACATGAAGACAACGGGAAACTCTGGGGAAACCCACTGGCATAACTGAACAGCAGGGAAAACATAAAAGCCTTTCCCTATGGCCCTGATACTACCTTGATCAAAAGAGTGAGGATGCAGACAACTAGGAGAGAGATAACATTTGTCAGCAAAACGATGTGACACAAGTCACAAGTCTGTGACCCTGGTGAGACTATCAGAAAGCACCAAGGCGGCATATCCTGGAGGAAGAGCTACAGCCCCAACGCTCCACAGAGATCCTGCCCACTGACCACACAGAACTGGGACGAAGGCATTAAAGTTTAAGGAATAAGGTTGAGGATCCATCTGTTCTGAAAGTGAGACAGCTCGCTTTCCCTCAGCCCCTTAACACGAAGAAAGTTGAAGGACATCTGGATGAAATACCATTAGCCCCAGACCAAACAGAACAGACAACACAGGAAGAATGACTTAAGCTGCAGGAGTGATTACTGGGTAGTTACTAAGTTAACAGTTGCAACTTTATTAAACTGTAAGCCTCTATCTCCCTCTTTTCCTGTATATCTCGGGTAAGATCCTTTTCATTAGTGTCCATGCGGGTCAATGAATAGAAAAAAAGACTCCTTCTCATCAGTAACCAAATAATCTATAATTTTATGACCTATCTACCGCTACTCTTGTGTTTCCAGCCTACTATAAGTAAGGTAGTAACTAAAGCCAGAACAATTTTAATGCTCTGAAATCCTAGCACTAATAATTTAAAAAAAACCCCAACCCTAAAAATTGTCACACTGTTCTATACCTATTTATAGCAGGATATACCTAAGTCAGAATTGACCACATATAGAAGAAATATCAACAGCAAATGAGAAAACACTGTACATGAAGTACTAATATACAAGTACTTTGCACTACTCACAGGCTTTAATCCGTACATATATTTTTCTAATTGTGCACACCACTGCATTACCAGTTAATTCACCTGAAAGCCTTTGCAGAACAGGGATTAATTAAAAACAGAGTAACAAAAAAGCAGACATGGGAAGGGGCCTCTGGAGATTATCTAGTCCAACTCTGCTGCTCAAAGAAGGGTCAACTACAGCAGGCTGCTCAGGACCACAGTTTTGAGCATCTCCAGGGATGGAGACTCCACTAACTCTCTGGGAGACCTGCTCCAGTGTTTGAACACACTCACAGTGGAACATTTTCTTCTTCTATTCAAGTGAAACTTCCTTTATTTCAGTTTGCATCTATTGTCTCGCGCTTTGTGCACCACCGAAAAGAGCCTGGCTCTGTCCTCTTTGCACCCTCCCCTAAGGTATTTGTAGACATTAACAAGATCCTCCTGAGCCGGCTGAACTTCACTCTCTTGTAACTACTGTGGGTAGCCAAGGCCACCCCCTCAACCAGCTTTCACAGCCCTGACCAATTCCTCCTTGTCTGTTAGTATGAGGGCTAGTAGAGCTTCTCTCCTCATTCACTTCTCAATCACCTGTGTCAGGAAATTATCATCATTGCACTCCCAAAATTCTCCTGGTTTGCTTGTACCCTCCTGTGTTGCCCTTCCAGCAGATCTTGGGGTGGTTAAAGTCCAGCACAAGGACCAGCACATGCAAATGTGAGGCTTCTTCCAGTTGTCTGAAGGAGACCTCTCCTACTACTCCTTGATCAGGCAGTCTGTAGCAGACAGTCACCATAACGTTGTCCACATTGGTCTGCTCGCTAATTCTAACCCATAAATTCTCAACTGGCTCATCATTTGTCCCAAGGCAGAGCTCCATGCATTCCCGCTCCTCTCTCATGTAATGGGAGATTTCCCATGCTTGCTGCAAAGCAAAATTACTTACCTGCCTTCTCAGGCTAAAAAACCCATTATACCTGATTCAGTTTAACCAGTGCAAAGTCACCTTTTCCATGCGGTTTGACACTGCTTCAAGCAAAATGATCTTGCCCACTCCCCTCAGATACTGCTTGTATCTTTACTTCAAACTCTCTCTCAGACAAATGTGCAATTACTTCTAAATGTGCAACTGATAGCTGTGTAGCATTGCCTACCTATGAACAAAACACAGCACATGCCGGTGTGTGAAGCTTTTGACACTCTCTTTAACATGACTTGAACAAACTCCAATGGCAGTTCTGAATTCTAGTTCAAACTATTCACCTTTTGATCTTTGTGGAGACTTTTCCTGAGTGCCAGGCCTGAAAACTTTGTTAACATATGAATCTTGCACCAAAATTTAGTGTCAGCTAGGACAGTTTACTGTAGACAGTGACTGGGAGTCATATACATTTATCCATTGGTAGTTTTCCTACAGAAGTAAGCTTAAGATCAATGAAACCTGTGGTGGAGAAGGGAACTTTGCACACAATGTCTTGTTCGTTTCTGCTAGCTCATGCCCAGAACGTGCTTAGGACTTGGCAGATTTCTTACTTTGAATGAACCTGAATATAGACAAATATAATCCATGTCTTGTTAAAAAAACAGTTGGTAAATGATAACCTGTTATGTCAGCAGTATGCATTTAGTACCTTTATTCCAGCATTTCTTAGCATCTCTAGAGTTGGTCTAACATCTGCTTGCAGCTGATCTTCTACTCCGGTGAGACACAGCAATTCCATTTCTCGCTCCAAACTCTCTACAACAGCAGCAACCTTCAGGTTTCTATCATGTATGCTTAACTTTGCTTGGTTATATCGACTCTGCACAAACACAAAACCACTTAGAATTCGTTACGACTCGAAGTATACATTCAGTCTACCGATCAGTTATAATATGGATTCATTAGGTTAAGTCTTTGTCTTTAAATATCTTTAATGAAGAACAGGATTAAGAGAAAATTTTACTTTACATTCACTGTTATACATTTTTTCCTGACAAACCACCTCAAGAGAATGCCTTCTGAAGAACTATTAAGAATTGGGCATTGCAGCATCTAAGCAGGAACTGCCCTTACCTTTCAGAACAAGTAGATTTTTCAGGTCACGCTGAAGCTGCACAATTAACATTGCACTAGCTTCTGGGAAAACACCGTCCAGTCACATAATAAATCAAAACTGTATCCTCTGTATGACTGCAGAACAACCACTAACAAATGACAAAATCTCTAACAGATTGTGTGCCATACCTCAACTATCGATACTCTTAAATATGAATCATCTTTTTTGCCACCTTAACAGAATAAAAAAGAGGAATGTTCCCCTTGAAGTAACTAAATATGGTGAAGTACAAGATCACTCTGTCCATTCATACCTCAAAATCTTGATACTGTTCTTCAGTCAGTGATTTTTTCGCAACCACCAGCGTACGCAGTCCTTCCCGTGCCATATTACCACACTGAATGGACCAAACCACAGAATAGTTATGCAAATATTCAACCATATGTACACGTTTTATATTATATGCTAACTGGGGATATGTGTACTTTTGGTGTTTCTTTAGACTTAGATTATTTTGGAGAAGCCACAAACAGAATAAAAAGCAATTATACTTCAAGCCCCCCAAATGAAGTGGTATGCTATTAGTGAGCCAATCAGATTTCCTCTCCTAGCTTAATGGAAATCTCTCTTAGGCTGAAGCTTTAAAATAAATTAAAACTATTTTTGAGGCATGTAACAGAGCTACATTTTCTTTTTCCACTGAACGTACTTCTTATCAGAAAAATATCTACACATTAAAAATAGCCATGGAACAGCATGTCTTAATGAAAAACAAGGCTGGCCAGTGCAGAACACTTATTGATTTGACCTGATAAAGCTAAATAAATTAAACAAGTATTTTACAATTAATTGTGCATCATTATCGCCAAAAGTAATTTTTATGACATTTTCCTAGGTCTTGAGGGAGTTTAATTTATTCATGTCCCCGAATAAATCAAACTGCCCTGCAGCAGATATTGATTCATATTGCCAATACCATTATGAACATACATGGTGTAATCATTGTATTAACATATTGTCTGTATGTAGGCTCAAAATAAGATGATTGCTGGTACCTACTAGAGCCACACAGTGAAAAATATTAATCAGTTTTGAAATTCAGTCATTAGCTGTTTTATATTAAGTTTAATAAATGTGGCAAAAAACTATTTCAACTTGGCTACAACCTTATTAAACTTCGTAACTCATACCTCACTGTAGAATTTGATAAAATAAGGGCTTTTCGGGATAAATAGGTTTATAGCAGAGTACTTCTCAGAAGTAATTAGGTTTTATGTGAAAGGTCAGTCAATGAAAAACAAATTTCCTTGTTTTAAGTAGGAACGTGTTCTGCTATGACTACTAGCTTTGCTTTTCGTGTGTGTTGCTCAAGAATTGAAAATAATTCTAATCCCTTCAAACGCATTCAGGATATATGTAATTGGGCTTCAAAACCCATTCCTGCATTGGCTCAGGTTCTCCTTTAAGCCTATTCAATAATACCTGATATTTTGATTTAAAATTTTTAGTTTTTACAAAATTTTAATTTTTATAAATTTTGATTTTGTTTCTTACCTCTTCTTCCAACCAATCATTGTATTGTACAATAGTGGACATTGCAACATCTGCACCCTTCATGTAAAATGTAATTTCTCCCGACGATTCATCCTAAAATTTTACAAAAGAAATAGGGGGGAGGGGGGGGAATTTGTTTATACAGTCAAAACAATTACCTACCAATAACCTAACTGTATTTTGAAGTAGTCAATGGATTATCATTTATAAAAGATGAACTACCTTGCCAAGGGGTGGGTAAGTTTTATTACTTGATGTTACTATTACCACCAATGACATCTCTGATTCCATTGAGATCCGTATTCCCTACTTTCTCATATAAGAGGATCAGTTCTAACTGAAGTCAACGTGAGTAACAGATTCTCAGGATCTCTAGACTGCCTGTCTAAATTTTAAAATACCACTGTTATGGCCCCTCTAACTACTGTTTTGTTTCTTTGGTGGCGTATACGGTCTAGCCCACAACAGAAAGTTTGCCCTGTGTCTTTGAAATACCTAAGTAATTAAAAATTTACAAATAACAGTCTAAATGCTCTTTACAGATGTTTTAATGATGAAACATTAATTGCACATTCAGAGAATTCACACGCAGGCAAATATAATCCAAATCAGGAGTTTCTGAGACATGGCCTGTCGCAGAAGGGATGGATTAGTCTGACCTGCAAGCTTCTTAGAATATCTTGGAACGTGTCACTGTTAAACAGGCTTTTAGTGCCAACCTCACCTAATGAAATACAGACTGCCAAGGTCTCTCCAGACCTGAGCATGCACATATTCTGCCTGAAGTACCCTTGCCTAAGGCTGATGGCATGCCTGCCTTGTCATCACAGGCCAATAAAAAATGGGATGAGTTTGGCACCTATTTAAGTGGGACTTGGCACTGATCTAACCATCTAATAATGTTGTCTGAAGCTGTTCTGCTACAGTGTCTGATTTTAGGTAGGGAGAAGGTAGAAGCATGTAGCATGGATGGCTTAACATTTGCAGAGGTTTAAATGTTCCTTTTAGCGTGGTGTTGTGGCTTCCTTTCACCGGAGGTTTTAATGATCATTACTGTGCTCCCAGCTGGGTGTCTAGGAGACAACTAAGCACGTATCTCGTAAATCTGTGGGTTGTGCTGTGTATGCGCGCCAGTTCAGATATCAATAGTGGGTCTGGAAAAGCAGCGGCACTGGTAGTAGAGAAAGATGCCAACTACTATTGTAAGACATTTCAGCCATTAATTTATCCCTTGAAGAGACAACTATTTTGTAGGAAAGAAACAAATGGAAAATTAAAACCAAAGGCTTAAAGGCAACCTGCAGCATTAGAGGCTAAGCGTGAAGTAGTGAAAATAACACGTTCCCATGTAAGAGAAGAGTACGTCTTTTACATGGCTCTCTGCAACATCAGGTTAGCCTGATTTTTCTACAATTGCTTGCCCAGTATTTCACATGTACCTGTGTCAAAGGTATACTTTCCATTTGAAAATCTTGTGAAATGCATTCCCTGAAGGATCAGGTTTCTATTAAATTTTATAAAAATAAACATTCAGCAAAAACATTTTTTGAGAAATAAAAACCCAAACACCCAGAACACCCCCAAAACTACCCTAACTATGATCCCCATGCGCTTGCTCTCAGAAGTGAAGGGAAAGATCTGCAGAATGTAGTAGGTCAGAATGTGTCCATCAGGGGTCTTCAGCTGCATTGAGGTCAAATCCCTGTTAACCAGAGTGAGACCGACACTCTCTGTCCACTGCACCAGAGCTACCTAAAGAAAGAAAAAAAGGAAAAAAAGAGACATATTTAAGTGTGAAAGGTCTATTATTCTGTTATATAAATTAGGCTAAAGCCAAACAACTGTTGCTAGGGTAAAAGTCTAAACTCTTCCAAGAATCTAGGAATAGAAATGTGAATAGCAGTAGACTGAGTACAAAATCTTGATACATCAAACGAGTATTTTCCTTCAGAAAGCTTATAAAAATTCTTATGAATAATATGAAAACTTATGTGAAAGTATCCCAGCAAATAAGGTATTTAGAATATATTGTTCAGAAATAACAGTTCTAATAAAAAACCCCAGATACACAGTCAACAATACTTCAAGGACATCCAGTAGAAATTATGCAAGTACAGAATACAATTTCTGTACCAACATCGCTTCAAGTAAAAGATTTTGGGAGTATTTCTATATAAAACATTTTATTAGATCTACAATTACATGCAAGTTGAGACACTGTAATATGTAGTAAATAGATAAGCAAAGGATCAGGATCTTATTTTTAGCTTACTTTCTTCATTTGCATCATTTTATTACTTTGTTTCAACAATAATATAATTGAGTCCTTACCATATCAAATGAGATGAAAACCAAGCTTATGATACTGCATCCCACAAACACACTTGTGAAAGTCCCTTTTACAAACCCAGAAATGCTGCATTATACAAGAATCACTGTCAGCTACCACCACATGGCATCTTAAACGCATGCATTAGAGATTTTGCTTTTTTTTTTTTAATTTTGCTGCTTCAAAGTGCATGACATCTAGCTTCTACTTTCTTCTATGTTATGCTTTAAATAATACACTAGGTATTTTTCTATCACCACTGTGTGGTTTATTCCTTCAAAAAATTAATACTTTAGGAAAACTGCTTTACTGTTAGTTTATATAAGCCATATTCCACATCTGAATGGGAAGTTTCTGATAAAAAAAAAATTCTCCTCCTCCATTCTGTTTTTACCTTTCCAAATGCTAATCATTATTGGAAACCAGATTTTTAAATTACTAGAAAGGTAATTATAATGAAGTTCACGTGATTTTTATGGAACCTGCCTCTGCCATTAATCTCAGGTAAGATGAAAAAAATAAAAATCAAGCAGTGTGATAAAAGACTTGCAAGTAGTAAAATCCCTAGATAAGTTCAACAGACATGACTAATGCTCACTAAGAATTTCACCCAAAGCAAGTAAACCACCATAGCTTCTTTGAAAACTTAAAATTTGAAAAAAACATTTGCGTGAACCCCTAAGAAACCCTAGTAGTGCCATCTGTGTAGGCATCACCAAATGAAAACACAGCAAGATGCAGTTACAGAAGAGAAGAGAACACACTTTGAAAAGCACCATTTTAAAATCTCGAAAATCACAGGAAGTCTTTTCAGGGGTTTTTCTTCTTGAATAAAAGTACCATATAAGCTGTAAATGATCCAATACTCCCAAGGTTAATTTTCAATTTTCACAGTGAAAGGTTACTATTACATTCTGACCTGTAAATTGCATCTTTCTACTAATACCCTATCATCTCATTTGTGTCCCTTTGCAGCTAGGACTTAAGTGTTCTATATTTGGTGACTCACATCTGTTTATTATTTCCTTTATGCTTGGCTTCACCTACCATTTGAATTAGCATTTTGCAGCAGTCATTTTGGATTCTTATACCTGGCCTACACACAACTGCATGTATTTTTTTTTTCTTTTAAATTGACCAGCACAAATACCATAGCAGAAATAGTCAATAAAGCTCAAGAGTCAAATAGATGCCTAAAAGGCAACTGAACAAACTTGAAGGCAAGACATTAAGTTTGACTCTCGTCATTCAGAATGAATCAGAGCAGCTAGACCCAGCTCTGCACCCAGAACAACATAGCCAGACCTTACCATTAAATATTGGAAGCTTTCAGAATATAGAATTTAAAAAAAAAAAAGGATTTCACAAATGGCATGAAAATCCACATTAGAAATCTTAACAAATAAGTATGTACTGAATGGCTGGCTATACAGAGTTCAGAAAAAGGATTCTTAGGTAAGACTCTCTTCTTGAGGTTTCCCCTCTACGAGTATATTCTTTTCTCTTCAGTACGTTTCTGAAACCTCACAGTAAAATGGTCTTGCAATCTAGTGTGCATACAACAAGAACCCCTAGAATGCCAGGTAAACACACCAGCTGTGGCTTCTACAGAACTCGACATATTGGATGGAGTCAGATAAAGCAATAAAAGTTTGGACAAGCACAAAAGCCTTTGCTGGTGACACTACCATTTTGCTTTAAAAAAGTCCATTCTGATTAGAGTATTTATTTGCCGATAACCATTAATTTCCTAACATGCACAGATGAAGCGTGTCAAGTTTCCAGAATCCAGGTTAGGGACTTATTTGAGTATTCTGTGGATCTTGTCTGGCTTACCACCAAGCTTCCCTTCTACGGAAACTGCCTGCCTGGGAGCCAGAAGCACATTGGTAGATGTCGGGTCCTCCCACTACTGAGACACAGGCGTGCACCTGAACCCGCTAACTGGCTTTACCCATTCCCCAGGACAGGTAATGTAGGTGGACCAAAGAGAGCTGCTGTGGTTTCTAACTTGCTAGTTGTCTTCCTCCTCAGCAGCAATCCAAAGGCTATAGACAACTATCCACCTCTCTCATGACAAGGTCAAAGTAGGGACTTCCAAATTAGGAATGAAGGTAGCAAATACTTGCACTATGACATGGAAATGCAACAGATCTGACAAAAGGCACTGCGAAACACCTCGTTTAGTGTTTCTTACCCCAAATCTTTCAGATGTTTCCATGCACCACATGCCCATTGTGGGGCTCTGGTTGCCTCTCTCAGCAGCGTCTCTCCACGAGAGGCCACGTGACACCCAGAGCTTCCACAGTTCACAGCCCCAGTTATCAAACTCTTCAACGACGGCAGCACAGATTTCCATTCAAAGTCAAATTCAGAGTTTTCTCAAGGAAACTCTCTCAACTCAAGCAGTAACTGTGTGACCCACAACGTAACCTCCAGCAGTACCAGCTCAGGAGGTAGAAGTAGCTTCTCCAAGCAGGACGGTGTGTCTACCTCAGTTGCCCAAGGAACACATGTGTCTCAACAGGGGCATGAAGAGGCGAAACCTCAGAGCACTATTGTTACAGAGCATGGCAGCCCTGTATACTAATTCCATGTTTTGGGGACACAATCATCCCATTTGTTTAGAAATGTTCATTTACAGAACTAAATCAAAACAAGCAGCTTATAAATATCTTAGGTAGTTTCTGGAAAGTTCCATGAAGTACACAAGGTTGTTAAGTGACAATGATGCAGCTACCTATTTTATCAGTCACAGAACCTAAGTCTACCAGAGTCAGGAAAATACTTAAGGACTTCATAAACCCATATCAAGCACAGAAAAAGCCAACCCCAAACCCATTATTCCTGCTGTGGATTCAGAACTGCATATTTAATTAGAACATTAGACTGATTTTAACCTAAAATAAATACTAATCAACAATTTTAAAAAACTTTAGAAAATGTGTAAACTGATAGGCCACAAAAACCTTGGTATATTTAATTTTATTGTAAACCAATTACCTTCTAAGTGATTTTTTTTTAACTATGGTGCCAACTTTTTTTTTTTTTTAAGGAAAAAATCTCTTCTACAGTAAGTTCTATTAGACTATGACTCCCATTTAATAACCCCAATGAAAATAATTATGTGGCAGAAAATGTTACAAATACCTAAGGACACAAGTCAATAGTCACAATTAATGCTGACATGTAAGATGAAATAGATTGTCCATAGAATTTTTTTTACTTTATTTACTTTCAACTCTGAGGATGAAGGAGTTAAGTACCTCCCTGCCGTATCATATAACAGGAGTTTGCTTCTCTCGAGTGGTGTTAGATGGCTTTAGGCCATTCGAACAGTATGTACAGGACAGTTCCTTACATAGCCCAACTCAAAGCCCATCTCTGAATTCTCCTGACCTTTCCCTGTGAGGGTGAGTAACTTCCCCAAGGAAGGGCACTCTCATTCCCTCTCAGAGTACCATCTTCCTTAGCTTCCTCTGGACCAACAGGAAATATCACTTATCACCCAGCTGTCTTACCAATGTTCAGTTTGGGGAATTGTGACATTAAGTCCCTTTGCTCTGTGGAAAATGTAACTACCTCTAGTTACTTGTCATCTTGGGAGCATGACGGGGTAAAGAAGTCCCAGTTAAAGAAAACCTGATACGGTCACTTGAAAAAATGAAACTTGCCTTGCCTTTGGGCACATAAGGTTATAAATCCACAGAGTGAGGTATTTGAAGCACCCTGCTGAATCCTGAAGACCTTCAGTTACTGGATCAATCCTGAAAGGCTGTTACTGCTTGGCAGAAGACCAAAAAAATGCCCTAAGGCTGTTCTTGTTTGCTTTAGATACTACATCAATCAGGACTGGAACATACAAACCATCATACTATTCCTGCTCCCTTTGAATTCTGGACTGTTTGGAACTTAGCTGGTCTTAGGAACCTAACCCATTAATTTTCTTTTTTACAATAGAATATTTTAAGAGAGAAAGCAGAAGTGGAAAAAAAACCAAACCCAAACCAACAACCTACCCCACTCTTTGCTTGGGTAAATTGAAACAGAAATTGGATACTCACTTGACTCAAGCATAACCTTTCATCAACCAAGATGGAAAAGCAATGTATTTCTGTGAAAACAATATTTAAACCCCTATTTAGACTGAAACAGTCAAAGGGCCTGACTGTACACTCTCCTTCCTAGGCGTTTAACCAGCTGCATTCAAGGCCAGCTCACTGTCGAGAGTCGTGATGAAGAAACAGCTCAAAGAAACCTCCACGGAGGCTGCCCTCCCCTTTCGCTTGGCTCTCAAGCTCGATCCCGTGAAAGCTACATTGCACTCACGTTGCAGCTATGCCCACGTACCCCGCTGACCTGGCTCTGACAGGCAGACACGGCCTCCCGCCATTGGACCTGCCTGGCTGCCATGGACTCTCCTTGCAGTCACCAGACTGTGGCTGATGCTGGTTACCGTCTCAGGACCTGGTCCTGACTTAATGACGTGGCTTCTTGGCTTGAATTCAGACGTGCCTCATCACCACAGACCTGTACAACGACCTATACTCTTGACTGTCTCTGGTCTCCATCATGGGTCGTGGTCTTTCTGCCTTGCTTGGCTATTGTAGGCCTTGTACACCTCAACACGGAGGCCACTGCCTCTAGGAGCCTGGCTATCACGCTCAGCTCTTGGCTTCCCTTTCCTTGCGGGCCAGTCTGCTGTTGCCGCTCCCTAGCAGAAATATCTAACTGCTCAATATTTACAAAGTGTTGCTCAAAACAGTTTATGACCAACCAATTGTCACTTTGAAAATTCAATATTCCCTCCTGAGCTAACATCAGTTTAAGAAGAAGATCCACCGCCTCGTGGCTGGTGTTGGAAGTTCTTCTCCACCCCATCGAGCAGTTTGGGAGTTCCCCCCACAGTCGTGCTGACAGCTTTTCTGGAGTCATGCTATGAACCTGACCACTTAAACTGAAAGATGACCCATATAAATAAAGGCTTCAAAGGTTTTGGCATATATGAGGGAGCAATTTGTAGGGTGAGAAAGAAGGACTAGGGATGGAAATTCCGTAAGCTAGTTTTGCTGCTTAGAAGAATTCTCATGTAACCAACCTTCATTTATTTCTCAGTATCTAAGAGCACCTGTGCTTCAGACAATACGATCTACTTTCAAAATCAAGTTGCCATGTACAGTATACAGAGGTTATATATGTGGTATTTTGAAGTTAAGGCTATTGGTTTGGAAACGGGGAAGAAGCAGTGAGATGGGTTTTTCCCCCACTGCCTGAGCGTTCCCAACAGTTTCTGTTTGGATTGTTCAACAACTACTCACACATGTTTCCAATCAGCACTGGTTTGTTTATGTTTATAAACAATGATTTGATAACTAACATTTGCAGTCCATCACTTTTCATCGAGAAACTTCGTAATTAAAATAAAATTATTAACTTAAAAATACAGCTTGATCATGTGAAAAAACTGCCGATCAATATTCAAGACAAGCTATGGAGTAGTTATTCTTTGTGGGTCTCGAAGGTCATGAAAGTGATGGTTTTATGCTACTGAGTGATTTGCTTTTCACAATACATTGACAAAACAACACAATTAGTCTTGCTTCAATAAGCACACACAATAAAATGAATTAAACAATACAACATGTCTCATACATTACAGCTTCACTTTTGTAAACACAAAAGCTGCTTCACTAAGGGCATATCATTTCCCTGTCTGTTTTTAAATGATTGGCTTTGTATCCTTGTAATTAATTTTAGCAACTCTGTTGTCTCTGGACAGAAACGTTGGAATTAAATAACTGACCACACTTTAAGGTAGTATTTAAATATTCAAAATCCTGGAATTAGAAATGCTTAGGAATATAACAGTGCAGGACAAAGCATAACCAATAAAGAGCTGGTTTATGAGAGTAAGCAGTCATTAAAAATCGTGACTGATCAATCTTTTCTGACCAAGGGGAGCAAAGGTCTTCAAAGGCTTCTGTTCATAGCATGCCCCTGAATTGCTTGGGTCTGTGACCTTTGAACTCCATTGCTTTACCTACTTAGCTTATATCCTTTTACGATTGTTCATTACATTAAGGTAGCTGCCTTTCTACAGATGAGCTGAACCCACACCTATAAGAGCCAAGTAGGAGCCATTTTCATTTTTTTCAGTGAGTTCTCAGTGAATGTTTATTGTTTGCTATGCTACAGCTGTAGAGGACAAGTGACAGACAAATGAAACTTTCCACTCTTTCAGAGAAAATGAAATATTGATCACTTATCATAAGAAACAAAGAGCCTGGCATAAGCAGGGTTCACATTATGAATACAAAATCAGTTACTTATCTCAGGTTACTCTAACAATAGATAAATACATCTTTTATGATGAATGTACCTACTTCTAAATGTGCATACTTTGTTACGGTTATATTTTATCCGTATATGGATGCACACATACACGCACAGATGTGAAGAATTTCAAATGAATTCCTCAAGTCAATTCGTTAAGTGTATTGTGTGTCAATATATTACTAAACTGCTTCTTATACTTTCCTAAGTGGAAGAATAGTTTATACTTACACATTGTCCTCTGCTCTTTATACGCTATGGTGATATTATCTTATATGCAATATTATATAATGCAACAGACAACTGTGCAAATAACATCCTCTTTCAAAAGACTCCAATCAAGCCAGATCCATAAACAAAATCTAAGAGAACAGAGTTGTAATGTTGAGAAAGTACAATGCATAAAACTGGTTAAGTCTATTAAATGATAATGTTGCTTATTAACCAAATATGTTGTGATAGGTCAGTGCTGAGGTTAAACAGAAAACATCAATTGAACCATTTCCCTAAATAAAGCTCCAGGGTGCAATATTCAAAGCACTTTATTCAATAAAAAATGCTTTTAAAATGGTACTTTGGTGATTGGGAAACATTGGCATCATCCGTCAACCTAACTGCAGGAAAGTTCAATAAGCTAAATAATGAACCATTTACATTATTTTCCTTAGGCTCCAGTGATTTGCAAACATTGCATCAATAGAACTCTTTAAAAAATTATGATAAAGACCTGCTAGTCTTTCAACTCTTAGGCTTTTTGCTGTCATGCTGCAATTTTTATGCTGTTTAAATGTTTTTTTGTAGCTTCATCTTTTTATAAGACTCCATTTAGCATCTATTTCTCATTATATTAAAGCATATTTGTTCAATATGATAATTTTACTAGTGTTTCAAGCATTATCTTTGAGAAACAAAAAGGAAATTTAATGCTGTCTGTTCTAAAATGTAAGTTTTTCACTTCACTGTCATATAGTTTGAATGTATGAGTCGAGACGATAAAAAAAAAATCATTATTAGAAGGATACCTGTGCTTTCTTTTCCTTGAAGCACTAAGTTTCTTTGTTGCTGATTTCGCTCTTCCACTCCCCTTTCCACCCCGAGTCCCAGATCTGTCATATTAGCACTTTATCAACTTTCCTCTTTCCAAGGTCAAATTCCCTACTGTCTTCCCAGGGCACCACTTGCATAATTCTCAAGTCTTACAGCTGTTTCCTTTAGCAAATACGGGAGGAGAACTGCTCTTTATGGTAATGTTTCCAGGTTCCAAACAACTGAATGAATATACAAAAGCCCACAGGAAGAGAAGAGCAAGTGGGTAAAAAACCTTACAGTCTCTCTCAATTGCCCATCTCTTCACCTGATTTAGTAACACCTTTGGCTGTTAAAGCAGAATGTTTACTTAATTCATAGTTGTCATCATACCTTCACAGGTAGATACTTGCTCATGCAGTCTTTCATTATATTAATACCTCACAGGCTCATTATACTGATCGATTTAGTGAATATGAATTTTTGTGCATATGAAAATTGTACACGTGCATAATACGAGTCAAACATTGTACAACTACACTAACAAAGTACGTTTACAGTGTATCTCTGGCATAAACAAATGTACTTGCAGCATTCTCAATTCATAATGCAGATCAACCCACACTATATAACACCACATATAGTATTATGGATTATTGATTTTAGCTGAAGAGCAGCATCTCAAGTCCTGCCTAGAGTTTATTTTTAAAAATGTTCTGACCGCCACTTTTTAATCACTGAGAACCAGCCACTTCTTTATATTCTACAATCCTTTGACACTATGAACTGTGTTTATAGCACCTGAAATGCATATAATGCCTGCTAGTTCTGTACTACATGAAGACAGACTTAAATACTTGTTAAAGACTTGCTACTTTTAGCAATTACAGCTTGCAGTTTGAATTGCTGAAGTTTTGTTAGTATTACATATGGTGATATATTAGACAGGTAAACCAAATGTATACCAAGAATAATAGGCTATGCTGTGGCAAGATGAGGTTTGCAGAAGAAATACTATCTTGTACTAGGTCAACTTGTATAGCTAGAAAAAAATACAGGCTTTCAGATACACGCTCCCTTCTTCACATCTTACAACAACATTGTTTTGGTTATGACTAAGCTACCATGGCTACACCACCAACAGTACGTCCAAGCTTCAGACACTGCTAGAATTTCTTTGAAACAAACATACCCCTCAACCTGCTCGCTTTCAGAGGCAAACTGACCTCAAAATACTCTGTTTCTCTATTTTACTGTATCAAATACATACATCTTTTTATAAAGTGAATGGGCTATAATTTATTTTTTTATGCTTACTTTGCAGTATCTTGAAACTTGAACTTTGCCTCTCTCTTCTAATATATTTTTA